TAGTTCTCTCTTTCCCCTATATCAAATTTTCATGCCATTTGAATGATTTTTCGCAGTTCTATGAACATTTGAATTTAGGCCTTTTCTTTGCAGATTTAAAAATTTTCGCAAACTTTTGACCGGTAGTGTATGTATTTTGAAAAACTTTCCAGCGTAAAAATATATAAATCCAGTTTACTTTAACTCCTTTTTTTAAAAAAAATGTAGGTTTGAAATTGCTAATGAAAGAACAGGATTTGCCAAGAAGCGTTTCTCCCGCTATATTGCATCCTCTTAAGCAAATCGGAAACACCGTGATGAAATTAACAATTATTTTAACAATTCAAAATGTAAAACAAGATTGAGGAGGGGGGAATCTTCAACAATTAAATGGGAATTACCAGATAATTAGCATTTGGGAATTTTTCAACCTGACTGAACTTCCACGAAGGACAAAAGTTATATTCTATAGAAGAAAAAAACGGTAAACACACGAAACATTACGTGCTTTGTTTATTTCAGAGTGAAAAGCGTGAGACAAAACAATCTATCGTTATTGTTCAAGATAAATATCAACAAGAGATGTGCAATTAATGACAGATTTTTTTTGTCCTTCTTAAATGTTTGTTTCGTAATAATTTTATTATAAAATTTTCGTTTGATAGGAAATGAAACTTTTTCTTGTAAATATATTGTCTGAAGAAAAAGGTGTTTAATTACAGCGCAGAAGGTTTAAATAATTTATGTCACAGATATGGAGTAAAAATCTATAATCCGATAACCACAAAGCATTATCGGTATCTTCGGCAACTACTACAAAGAACCGTGATGGCTCAGGGGATAGAGCGTTTGCCTGCCAATGAGGTGAACTGGGTTCGAATCCCAGCGATGACTCGTCGATCATCCGGCTTGCACCGACCACAGTGCTGACGTAAAATATCCTCAGTGGTAGAGGGATCATGGGTTAGAGTCCCCTTGCTGTCAGGCTAACCATGGGTGGTCTTCGAGGTTTTCCTCTCCATGTAACGCAAATGCGGGTTAGTTCCATGAAGATGTCCTCCATGAAGGCAAATTTCTTCCACTATTTGATCCAGGAGTTCCCTTGTCTTCCGGATTGGGTTCTAAATTACGAGGCTACAGAATTGAACATTAACAGTCGTAAACCCAAAAAATTGGGTCGGTTGTTCACCGACGGTTATAAAAAATAAGAACTACTACGGAGATTCATAATATCGTACAATAGACAAATCAACGCAAGTGACAAAAAAGTGACAATTTTTATATAGTTGGCATTTTTGTATAATAAGTTGCATATTACACATTATCAAATTTCTGAATTTCCTTTTAGCATTGACAGCATTAGAGAGAAACAGAAATTAGCTGTCAAGTCAAATTTTCTCAAAATCCATTGTTAAGCACCGCTAACTTGCAAGGTCATTGGGAAAGATTTTGCAAAGTGATTGTAAAACATTTCAATAATCCACAAAATTTAATTTAAACTACATATACTGAATCTTTAACTTCAACACTTAGTATTGAGTTAAACTCGTAGAGTTGTAAAAAAAATTTAAAAGTATTAACCAGCGATTTTAAAATACACTATCCGAAGATAAAACGGCGTTTTTAGAGCATGTGTTTAGAACCTGAATTCTCATGATAGTTAAAAAAAATGAATCTGGAAGGCAGTAACTTTCAAAATCAAATTTAAATGAATGAAAAATTCTTTAATGTTTTTTTCTTGAAAAATTTTAAGAAAAGTTTCACAAGTCTGAAATTCATACAATAGTTTGAACACTTAATCACAGAAGATGCTGAAAGCTCTCAAAATCCGTTATGAATAAATACAAGAAATTAAAGCGATTTTTTCCCTCCTAAAACGAAAGTCAAAATAAATTATAAATCATAACATTATTTAACTTAGTTACAAATTAAACTACAGAAAAATTTTAAGCTTAAATTTAGGGTAGATAGCCAAAATAACTACTGATAACTCATCAAATCTGTTTGATACTTCGCAACCGTAACCTATTTAATACTTCTGAAATCTGTTTGTGGGGAAAGGAGTAATCGACAATGTCAACCATCATCTATCAAAAGGTACCAAGATATAATCGAGTTAGCATGCTTTATATACTAATGAATAGATGTTTAATAATAATAGTGGTAGCCACATTATTTTTCTTAGTAAATTTAAAATTGTTGTAGTAATAATGTTTACAAAATATAGTACACAGTGGGCTAATCCCCCTGTCCGCTGGCACTCACCAACCCTAATGATTATTTCGCAATAATTGTAGTTTTTTCGCACAAAACAGTTGAAATTTTTCAACTAAACACACATGCACTAAAAAGAACACTAGTGCCACCATATCCCACGTATAAATATTTCCCATATGATACTATTAAGATCTATTAGAGGAAATAAACTAATTTTTTTGAAATCTAACAATATATATATATATATAACATTCATAATTAAAAATATATTATTGTAACAAATTTGGTGAATTCGCAACTGTAATTTTGTATTTTTTCTTCAGATATATTTTAAAGACAATGCTTGCTCTCATCATTTTGTGCATGAAGCTAAAAGTTAAGTTTTAAATAATTAAACGCGCCTCTTTAACTGTAATTCATATTAGTATATAAATGTAAGTATTCATAAAGTAGCACCAAAAAATAATTGTAAAATGGTTAATAAGATCGGACACCGATTTGAATAACTTTATCTTAAAATGCAACGTTGAATTACGTTATTCTAATTAATAATAATCCTCTGAAACACTTAATCTAGAAAGCAAACAAAACTACAAACGTAAGAATAACAATTCATGTAAATCCCTTTAAATTTTCGAAATATTTATTCAATTTGCAAAAATATTTATAGGAAGACAATATTTTTACGATTCATATCAATTTTATGCTCATGACAACCAAACAAATATGAGAATTAATGTGGAAAAACTGGATCCTACCATATGCGTTTTCCGGCCCAATAAAAATGCACCGTCAACCAAGGAGAACTGCAACACCATCATTAGATAAATAGTTTGATTTTTATCTTATTTCAAAAATGTATTAACTGTCTTATTTGACTTCAAGAATGTTTTATAATTAAAAATAATAATAATAATAACAGTGAACTTATTTTGTTGATAAAAAATTATGAAAAAACTTATGTTCGAAATGCATATAAATTTTTAATTAAAAATCAACAATTCATTTTAGTATGAGACATATTTACATACATTTCAAAGTCAAGAATACATCCAATGTAGTTTACTTACAATTGAAGTGCTGTCAATGTAAATAAAGAAGTCCCGATATTTTGGCGTTACGTAAAACAAATATATATATAAAGATAATAGCTGGATTGTTATTCATAGACAAACCACAGGAGGTTAATAATTTTTTTTTAATTTCCGAGTAGCAAAAGTTAGCAGTTTTACCCACTGATAAGAAGTTTTGCTTTTAAAACATTAGTTTTATCATCTCTCAGGCATAACTTAACTAAGAAAGAAGAATGATTGAGTAAAATTATTTTATGAAAAAAATATTGCAATGAATATAAGTTCATAATTCCAAAGTTAGATGCTTTTATAAATAATAAATGCTTACGTTAAAAGTAGAAAGTTGGAGGATTCGTTGCTTTTCAGAAAGAACGGGTTACTATTGTTGCATACAAAGTATTCTTAGATATTTGAAATCCAAATAGCTTATAGTAAAATCAGATATTTAATTAGTTCATAAAAGTTACATTTTAATGAATACAAATTCATAAATTCAAAGTTAGATGTTTTTATAAATAACGATTAAGAAATGCTTACGCTCATGATGAAATTGAAAGATTCGTTTGCTTTTCAAAAAGAAAAATATTATTACTCTACACACAGCTAGTCAAAAATACTATAACTCTTAGTAAAAGCAGACATTTAATTATTTCATGAAAATAATATTTAATGACTAAAAGCTCATAAATCCAAAATGAGACATTATTATGAATAAAAATAATAAAAATTCTTACATTCATGGTAGCTTTTGAGAAAAAAAAAGAGTTTATTGCTGCGCACAAAGTATCCCTAGCTATTTGAAATCCAAGTAGCTTATAGAAAAATCAGATATTTAATTAGTTCATATAAGTTATATTTTATTGAATACAAATTCATAAATTCGAAGTTAGTTTTTTTTAAAAAAATAACGATTATAAAATGCTTACGTTCATGATGAAATTGGAAGATTCGTTTGCTTTTCAGAAAGAAAAGGTTTATTGCTGCACACAAAGTATCCTGAGAGATTTGAAATCCGCAAATGCTTTCTAATTCTTCTCTATATCATTGCAGGCACAAGGAATCTAAGTTGATAAAAAAACAAACTTTCTATGAATCGCTCTAGAAACCTGTTCACTAAACAAAAACTTCTCCCAATTGTGTAAAGAACTTCAAAGCGTTTAGTGGCATCATCATCCTTTCATTTTTGTGAAAGCGAAGATGTGATTTTTCCCCACACCCAGCCTCCAAAGCAAATTAGTCAAAAGCCTGTTTTGAGAGATGCCCGTTCTTTTTTTTTCTTTTTCGAATACTCATTATTCTTTTCATTTCAAGAACATCCCTATCTGGTTTAAATCGACTCTTTCATCATTGCGACGGAAGGGCAGACGATTCACAGGTTGTTTGAGAAAAAAATAAATAAAAAACAAACACAAAGAATTGGCTAACATTTCAAGGAAAGGTGTCTTCTTATCATAATCGGGAATCGCAGGTCTTTTCCTCTGTTGGAACAATTGACCGACCAGAAATTTAGTTAAAAATGAAATCGATTTTCGGAAACTAATTTAAACTCCGTCGCACGATCTCGCCAAATGAAAATTAAGATAAGAAAGTTGTAAATTAAAAGAATAGAATTGAGAAAATTGTTTTCAAAATGAATGGGACATTCTTTTGAAGCGAGTATGAGTAATAAAGAATAATAGAAACAATGAGTTATTTTCTAGATTGTGGTTGGGAGAAATTCTGCTGCGCTATTACCTTAAAATTCTTTCTTATTTATTTTAAATTTAGAATGTTTAATGACTGAAATTAGAGAAGGAATTAGAGAAAATATCTTGCTCTAAAACTGTGAGTAATCATTTTGCACATTTTTCCTTGAATTTTTCTTTAAAAAAAAGTTAGTTAAGTTTTAAAAAAATAAAAAGGCTATATTCTTTCTCTAAGATGTTTCAGATCTCGAACTCAAATAAGGAAAAAATACTTTTTTATTTTAACATATATTTATACATATTTTTACATTTGCTGTTGATGAATAATTCTTTCTATAATTAAAGAAAACAAGGATTAAAATTTGAAAATCTACAAAAGAAAAAATTTAAAAACTGGTAATATATATTAAAAAAAGCTGAAAAGTTTTAAAGAGTTTTTAATCTTAAAGTTACCTACATTTTTAATAAATAATAAATTTTTCCAATAGAATGCCAAAAAAAAGCATTTTAAGAACCTAAAAATCTTTAAAATAATTTAAACCGAAAATATTAAAAAAAAAAAAATTTAAAAAAAATAAGGAGCTCTTGACCTGGAAGTTATCGTCCTTTTTAATGGCAGCTAATATTTCCCCCTATCGAAAAAAAAAGTAATATTTTAAAAACTAGAAAGCGTTTCAACAAATTAGAAACCAAAAACCGAAAATATGAACGAAAAAATTCTAAAAAGGTTCCAGTAGCTTTCTCCCGAAATTATCTGCATTTTTAATAGTAGATAATAATTAATACTTTCAATAATTCATTCCATTGGACAAAAATAAAAACTTCTTAAGAACCTGATAAGAGAAATTAGAAACCGGAAACAAAAATGTAAAACAAATAAAAATATTCTAAAAAGTTTTAAAAACCCTTTAGGATGATAATGATACAATCTTTTTAAAAACCCTAAAGTCTATAAAAAATTAGAAAAAAGCCCTAAATAGTTTTTGAAACTATTATCCTCGAAGTTACCCTCACTTTTAAATAAATAATAATTCCTTCTGTAGGGCGTGAAATATCTATATATATAAGCATTTTAAGAACCTGGAAGTCTATTAGAAAGATTAAGAACCTATAACCTAGAATTTTAAACCCTGACATTAATTACATTTTCCTATGCCTAAAAAATTTTTCAGAGAGGCGTACTATATTTTACGAACTTAAGAGTCAATAATTTAAGAATGAAAAATGTAAAAATGATCAGGAAGAACTTTTTAACTTCATATTATTCACATTTTTACAATAACAGATATTTAATAATCCTTTTATCGGGAAGCTAAAATAATTTTAAAAACATCAGTCTTATCAAAGAATATTAAACCTCAACAATATCCACATTTTTAGAATAGATGATAATAATAATTGATAATAGCAATAATAATAATATTTAGATTTACTAATACTTCTTGAAGGGGATCAAAATTAAAAATTTAAGAACCTTAAAAAAATTAAAGCCTGAAAATGTAATGGTCTTGGAGACGTTTTTAATGGCTTTAAAAAAAGTGCTACGAATGACTAATTTTTCAGAATTTAAAGGTGTTCATTAATTCTGGACTTGTTTTTTTTTTTTTTTTTTTTTTTTTTTTTTTTTTTTTTAGTTTTAGTTCACTAAAACAGAAATTCTAAAGGAAACTTAATTTCTTTTCATAAACATAATTGCTATAGCTGTATTTAAAAATTCCTTTGTACTTAAATATTAATAAAAACTACATAGATTGTTTTGTACAAACTAACGATTATCCTAATGATTTTTATAACTAGTTATTCTCTATGGGTTCTTAATCTTATACCACCTTGAGAAAAAGTCACCCATTATTAAAGTATAGCTGATTCAAGTTTTTTAGAAACAAAATATTTAATAAATTTTACGGTAGACATTAAATATTTTGCGATTTTTCCTTAAATATAAGAAAAAAGTTCTTTTTTTTATATTTTTAATTTTTTTTCAGGAACTTAATTTGATGGATTATGCTGATTCAAAGAAATGAATTCATTGAAATGAACTTAAGTTACATTCATTAAGTAAAGAAAAGCATGAAAATACAATATTTTACTTACAAAATAAAATGGCGCATTTATGCAGCATAGGCCAAATCAATCGACAAATTATTTAGTTGAACACTAGTTCTTTTTTGAAATTTTTTTAAATTTTATTTACAGAATTTTCAAAATTAATCCCTCATAAAAACATATGATTAATCTGATATGGAATAATTATACATTTCCGAAAAGTCGAATTTGTCAACAGCCTTTACAAGTTAAGAAACTAGCGTAGCGTAATTTCTCAACAGGAAGTGTTTACTTAAGTTGAATTATTAATGTTTTATAGATATCTTCAGAGCCCTTGACGATAGCAGAAAAATACAATTAGTCACAGTGTTAATGAAAAATATTTATTGAAATGATGTGCTTACGCCTAAAATGCATTAAATATACCAAGAACAGCATTCAAGATTTAAACAAAAGATGATATCTCAAAAATGCTTTTATTAAAGACTCAGTTTTGGTCTTTTGATGTAGAATAGAAAAATAACAAGAAAAAATGCTTAGTTTATCGATGCATACACGAGATGTGCGCATTTTTTCCTGTAATTTTATTTTATAACAGCTGTTGAACGGCAGACCCGAATTTTTGGATTTACGACTACTAATGTTCAACTACGAAACCTTGCAATTTTGAACCTAATTCAGAAGACAAGGGAATTCCTGGATCAAGTATTGGGAGAAATTTGCCTTCGTAGAGGACTTTTTGATGGAACTAACCCGCATTTCCACGAGAACCTCCCACGGTTAGCCTGACGGCAAGGGGAATCTAACCCTTGATCAGTCTACCACTGAGGATATTTCACGTCAGCACTGTGGTCGGTGCTAGCCGGATGCGGAATTCGTATCGACATCGTTGAGATTTGAACCCGGTTCACCTCATTGGAAGGCGAGCGCTCTATCCCTGAGCCTTCGCGGCTCATTTTTCTATAATTAAAAGTTTCCAGGCACTGTGTAGCAGCTCGTATCGGTGATGTTTTCGGCTCGATTTTGGCTCGCGGACTGTAGTTTCGAAAATACGCCTGCAGATGCAGATTAAAGAAATTTTTAAAATAAAAAAAATATGCTTCGTTAAAATATATCAACTTAGATTAATCAGTAATTACGCATAAATTAATAGTAGTGAACAATTACAGTCCTGTATATTTACTGATAAGCCGAGAGGACTACATAGGAGTCAGGGAACTGGCCTTGTATCAGAAAGTTTCTGGGTTCGAATCCCAGATAAGGCATGGATGTTCTTTCATTCTCTGTAGTTTCTGTCCATACAGTGGGAGAAACGTTGGCCCACCTATATACGGTGTATGGTGCCCTTGGTATGTGGTGCCTTGAAAGAGTGGCCAACAATTTTTCCCTAATACGCCTGAATTGTCGAATGTCAACCCAGGTGGTCATTGGAAAAAAAAATTTTTACTATTACGTCTCAATTATACTGAAGCAATAATTATTTTGCGGTCTCAAAAATAATTGAATATTTTGTAATATGATATTGATATTTTTTTTTCTTTAAGTTATAAACCCAATTTTTTTTTTACTAATACGTTTCAATTATTCAGAACCAATAATTCTTTTGAGGTCGCAGAAATAATTTAATACTTTATAATATGTGAAAATTTTAATAGTTAATTTAAATTGATATTTTTTTCCCTTATAAATTATAAACCCAAATTTTTTTCTACTATAACGTCCCAATTAAAAAGAAGCACTAATTATTTTGTGGTCGCAGAAATAATCGAATATTTTGCAATATGTGAAAATTTTATTATTAAATTTGATTTGATTTTTTTTTCTATAAGTTATAAGCCGATTTTTTTTTTTTTTTTACTAATACATCCCAATTATAAACGTCCCAATTATAAATGTAAAGAAATAATTATTTTGCGGTGGTAGAAATACTTGACTACTTTGTAATATGTGAAAAACTTATTATTAAATTTGATTTGATATTTTTTTCTATAAGTTATAAATCCAATTTCTTTTTTTTTACCTATACGTCCCAATTATAAAGAAGAAATAATTATTTTGTGGTCGCAGAAACAATTGAATACTTTGTAATATGTGAAAATTTTATTATTAAATTTGATTTGATTTTTTTTTTCTATAAGTTATAAGCTGATTTTTTTTTTTTTTTTTTTTTACTAATACATCCCAATTATAAACGTCCCAATTATAAATGTAAAGAAATAATTATTTTGCGGTGGCAGAAATACTTGAATACTTTGTAATATGTGAAAATTTTATTATTAAATCTGATTTGATATTTTTTCTCTATAATCCAAAATTTTTATACAAAAACCAATATTCATAATATTCCAACGGGCATTGAGAAGAAAGGTGGTAAAAGGAGGAAATAAAATATTCCTTACCTGTAAAAAGCTCATACTTCCTTGCAATTTCCGTCACCGTCTGGACAAATCTTTGAGCCCTTTTTTTGCTCTCATTAAGAACAGAAGTAGACAAAGTGTTCCGGTCAGTCCCTCACACAT